CATGCTCTGATACCTGGAATCAACTTCAAGGCATTCTCCAGGTATTCATCTTCAGTGATGGGGTGTCCTTTCCACACTAACTCCATCATGAAATCTCGTGCAGCCCAAACAAAGTCTGGGAAGAAACTCACAAAGTTGGCTGAGTCATGTACTTCACCAGAGCTGGGAGAGGATTTTGTCCTGATTAGTTTTGTTAGTTCAGTCACGTAGCTGGAAATATAGCTAAGGAAAGGGAAGTGCTTTGCTGCAAAATTTTCAGATCTTACTTAGAAACAAGATTTATAAACATTCCCATTAGTCCTGTGTCTCCTTCTCTTAAAAAATGAGAACAGTCATGGAAAAGAAGAAACAGTATCAATTACATTCCCATAGACACAAGGACACATGGTGCTTCATTTCCTGGAAGGATACTGCAGCTGCTCCAGGGCCTGGTGGTTGATGATGCCCACGTTGTTGTAGACAAACATGCTGCTCAGAAGCACGGCCAGGGCAAAGATCCATGAGTCATTGTTAGAGTCACCCTAGAAAGTACGTTATAGCAGAGGACTTAGGCATCTACTGTTCTCACTCATTCAGTTGTTCATTCACTATGTCAGCTGTACTGTAATTGAATAGTAAGACAAATAACACAGATTGTGAAGACAATGCTCATTTTTACTACTGACATTGACCCTTCTAAGGACCTGAGTTTGTTTAGCTATTAACAGAAGTGAATGACACTGTAAATACCTGTCAAATATTTAATACAGTGCCTAGAACACAGAAGTATGTAATAATAAGAGGGCAATGATCTTTCTGCAAATTTTTCTCTTTGTGGGCTTACTGGTGACACAAATATTATTCAGTTAAATTCACCAACTACTCATTGTGCACCTACAAAATGCCAGACTGCATTTGCTTGTGTGGATATAAAATTCTATATGATAATCTTTATTCTCAAGAGATGAGTTTCTGGAGGGGCAGATATACATGGCAACATGTAAATGCATCCAAGATGATAAATGCTGCCAGGAGTGGAACCAAAATGTTATAGTGTAAAAGACAAAAGGGAAATGCAAAAAAACAAAAATGTACTTTATGAATTCAGAGCAAGAAGTGATTATGTCTGAATGAGATACAATCCCATTAGCTGGGCTTTAAAGAACTGACAAAATGTAGAATTGTGGAGATACAAAGTCCATGTAGGTGGGAGGACTAACAGAAGCCAATCAGAATTATCAGAAAGTGGCAGTCATATAAAGGTATTACTACTAGGTTATTTTATTGGACTGAAGTAGTGGTTTTGTGTGTGGTAGTAAATGATAAGGCTGAAAATGAGATTCCGAGAAAGTCATAAGTGACTTTGTAACAGAATTCGTTACAAGTAGAAATACTACCCAATACACTACAATTTGTAAGGGCAGTAGGTGGTTCTGCTATCGGTTTACATTTGGTATGTTTTGGTTCCTTGACAAATGCAATTAGACAAAAAGAAAAAGGTTATGCGAATTAAAATTTATTAGACCATCTTGGGTTTTCATTGAGGTGATTATTGGGTACATTCAACCTAAAAATTTAAATTTCAGATTATCTAAATTTGCAGTAATGAAAGCCAAAGACCCACTGCTGCTACTTTCATTTTAGACTCAGGCTAACATAAATAAGGAGACAAAGTTGCAACTAACATTATAAAGACAAAATAACTGAAATTATCCCATTTACAATGCTGTTGGTGGGTCTAACTCATGTTTTATAAAAGTCAGTGAGGAATTCATCTTCAAAACACAGAGATGGACTAAAACCTTAATGACGGTTCTTGGAGCAGCTAAATTTTTTTTGGAGATTCTTTAACTGAAACCCTATTTTCATGGGTCCTACTTCCAAACCCATCAACCTCACACACCTTAAGCTTACTGATCCCATGGTTATGGCTTCTCTAGGATGTTTTCCTCAACCTGAAAGACTGAGTTACATTCTCACTTTTTGTCCCCATGGTACCCTGTACTGATAAGACTGCATATTTCTTATTTTCTTAACTAGGTTCTGGGTCTTTACCTCATTCAGTGGAATGTATGTAGTACTTAACAAAAAGCCCTACAATTTAGCTGCCCAATAAATACTTGTCAACTTGTATCTTTTACCCTGCCTTAAAAATAAAATCTATCCCTAATAACCAAAGCATTGAGTTTACCAAGAAAGTAAATTCAAAGAAACAAAATGTAACCTCATTATTACTAATTGGACTTGTAGTTTACAGAAATGTATCCTAAAAGTTGAATTGAGGTTGCAAATTAAAATGTAAGTAAAGTATCAAGAACAAAGAAGACTCTCTGCCTTACCTTTTCCACATCGCCCAGGCCCTCAGTGTCCAGGAGGACCAGAGTATGGTTTGGCTTGGAGGGGTGAGGCACACACCACATCCAGATGCCCTTGGTTTTAGACTGCACTGTGGAGCCCAGAGGGAAACCTGTAAAGGAAGAGGAGGGAACAGTATACAGTAACAACAGATAGTGCAGGCTTCCCACAAGTTATACTGCTTAAACTTGTCAGAAATGTGAGTGCCTGGCTGGGAGGAAGGTTGCTTCCATTTCAGAAAGAACAGCCAGTCTGACCTTTATATATATTAAGGACTTGCTCAAGAAACACTTTGTGTCCCCTATTCACCTCATACTATCAATGGCCAAAGCTGTGTCATGTTATAGAATTAAGATAAACTCTATTAACTTTTGTATTTTTATCTGACTCCTCTGTCCTCCAGCTTCTGATGGAGTTCAACCTGTGGGAAGCACTAGCGACTAGAATTCAGGCATGTGTTCCAGTAGCTTCTACCTGGCGAGCCATAGTGTCTCAGTGCCTCTGTTCCTCTAAGTTGAGTCACAGCTCTTTTCATGTAGCTCCATCCCATAGCTCTGGTCTTTGCCACATTATGGTATCCACTTTTTGCTTGCCTCTTCGGGCTACTGAAGTTATAATGGCTACCTGGCCATTGCTATTGCCACAATCTGGGGGTTTGCCCATCTCTCATTGGTTTCCTTTGCCCTGTGTATATCCTTGCAAATGGTCCCTCCATTAAACACTTTTTAGTTATCCCTTCAGTGGGTCACATGTGTATTGCATGGGCCTGAACTGGTATATCAGCTTTTGTTGGTGTTTTTACTCCTGTCTCTCCATATTTTCCTCATTTCTTTTCCCCTCTTCAAGCAAATGGTGAATTCTTTGTTAATTGCCTCAGGTGGGGAAAGCAGAAAAGACCTGTGAGACTTGCTTGTTTCTATTTCCAAAAACTTAAATTAACACACAGAGGGAGAGGATGTGAGGTGTATGCTCAAGAACCTCAGAGTGACATATCTTGTTCCACAGAGCAAGATTCTGACCATCTGCTATATGCCAATGCTTCTTTTAATGGAGACTAGAAATGGACGTGTTGAAATCCGTAGCAGAGGGTTGGTTCAGCATGGCTCCAGTTATTCCATTTCCACATCCAGTGTGTTCTCCACAGACAAGGTGTAAGCCTGAGATGGTCTGCACTCTTCTGCATCATGATACTATTTGCTTGCTTGCTGATTTATGTAGAATAATCTGAACTTCCAGTTCTCCCAGTGAGAAAAGATAGGTATAACTGAAGGTCATTATACTTGGTTATGAAAAGTATCAAAAACATGGAGAAAGTCATCAACAAGGAGAGACTAGTGACTTGGTCATGATCTTGGATCATGACAGGGTACAAATTCCTTTCTTTGCATTCCTATGAGTAGGGTGGTGTTTTGAAATATTTTGATTGTAAAGACTTCCTCAGCAATAGAAATCACCTAAATATTACCACATGTTCTCTGAGTAGATTAAAAATGATGCTGTTGAAACTCCTTGACTAATATATCTCTCTTAACCTCTTTAACCCTTCAAAAAATGGCCTATTAATTAGGCTAGGCCAAAAAAAGGTGTCCTTTATGATTGGTGGTCAAGAAACTCTCTATAAGAAAGACCAAGACAAAATGTTTTATTAGAAGCCAAGAGGAGATTGGGAAGTAAAATGGAGAAAGGGAGAAAGGAAGGAAGGAGACAGAGGGAGAGGAGAGTGACAGATGAAAGAGACACATTGAAAGAAGGACTATGAGAGAGATTGCTAGGGGGATCCTTAGAGTTCAATGACTGAGGTCTAACCCCTAATGGTGCTGAGCTGCTAAGCCGCACAGGAAGACATTAAAAAAAAAAAAAAAGCGTGTAGTCTTCATAGACAGAAATGCTGAACAGGACATAGACAGATTGTCCTAAAAATCAATAGGAACCAAGAGAGTCAATTTAATAGGAAAAAAAAAAAACCCTCCCTGACATAAGAAACGCAAATAGCAACTAAATTTGTGAAAAGGTGCTCAGACTTATTTGTTATTTGTAACTTGGCAAATAACTTGTAACTCTATAGTCAAACAGATCAAAAGTTAAGTCTTTTACCAAATTTTTATGAGGATGTGGAGAATTCTCAATTATTGCTATTAAGTATATAAAGTGCTCATAAAGTTTGAAAAGCTGTCTGATATTATCTAGCAAGGTAATTCCATTTCTGGTATATCACACAAGGAAAGTGTATGCATATGTCCGCCATGATATAAACACGAGGATATTCATGACGACATCATTTATAAAGGATAAAAACTAGAAATAATACCAGTTTTCATCGTCAACAACTGGATAAATTGTTGTATCCTCTGACTATAGCATACTGTAAAGTAGTGAAAATAAATAAGTTACAAATACATCTGACAAACTAGATGGTTTAAGCACTCTTTTGTATGTGTTATAGTTCACAGACAGTTCAGAGAGAGAGAGAAAGGTTGGGGAGGAAGGGAAAATGGGCATAATTTATCAAAGTTTTGATATTAAATGAATCAAAAAAAAAAAAAGAGGATGGTAGCCCCACTGAGATGTGGAATATGCAGGGATTCTACTGTCTGTTTTTCTTACCATCTCTTTTTAAAAACAGGACATGTTGAACAATATTTGTGTGCTACTTGAAATGACCCTGTAATTTCTTAGGGCAAATGTGATATAAGATAAAAAAGGGCATCATTTCTGGAGCTGAGCTCCTGAACAGATGAAAATGGATGAAATGGGGTGGATTTTTCAATAGGGTTACAAACCCCTTATTACTGGTCAAAAGAGTGAGGTTTTATGGACAGATGGGGTTGAAGTTATTAATTTGGTGATGATAAATTTTCTTTAGTGGAAGGGGTTAGGCTCTCCCTTAAGATGACCCCGGAAGAGGTGTGATCTGAGGGTGTTATCACTGCTTCCTAGCATATGGCCACTGTTCTAGAGCAATACTCACCATGGTTCTGTCCTGCCAGGCGATTCATTAGGTAGGATTTTCCTGTTCGATACGGCCCTACAATAGCCACCACCACCACAGGCTGAGAGTTCTCCTGAAGAATCTTCAGTGCATTTGGATTTACTCTTAGTCGATTTTTCTGGTTTTCTATCAGACATATGGGTTCCATCATGGTGGATCCAGATGCCATGTTATCTGTAACCCAGAAGAACAACTCAGTAGCATACAAGACCCCAAAGTCATAGTTAATGGTTACACAAGTCACATGCATGTCTGCTTTCCGTGTGTAGAACTTACACTTCAATTTCTTACATTTTATATGTTTCTAAAAATTAAATATTTAGCTTAGAGCGTCAAGGCCTGTATGGATTCCTTATGCACATTATCATATTGATCAATATATGAACCCTAAAACAACCTTGTCCATGTGATGTATAAAATGAATAGAATGAGAAAAACTAAGCACTGACAACGGAGCCTAGAAAACACTAACATATTTGGCGAGGGGAGAGGGAGCGGGGCAGGGGGAAGTAGAGGCAGAGTGGGACATGCAGGAGATGAGTGACCAGAGAAGATATCAGGAATTCCGGAATGATTTCATCTCTCACTATTGCACGAGTATTTACTGAGTACTTACTATGTGATGGGCACTGTTCTAGATGTTCAATATCAAGTGGTGAGCAAAATAGATACAATTTCTGTTTCACAGAGCTCTACTCTAGAGGGAGGAGACAGGTAATAAAGAGAGAAATTAGAAAAATACACATATGTGCATTAGATAATGGAAAAGGCTCAGAAAAAAATAAGCAGGAACAATGATAGGGAGGGCAGGGACTGTATTTATATAGAGGGTGGTCAGGGAAGGCCTCTCTGAGAAAGAGAAGTAAATGTGATCTGCGACCTTGATGAGGAAGGTTTAGAGAATTGTGGGAATAGGAGCAGGCTGGAGGAGGAGAGACTAAGAGGAAGAAGAAGAGAAAAAGAATACAGCTCGCTCTCAAAACACAACAGGACAGATCTTATAGGATCTAGATAAAGTTATGGCTGCAGGAATAAATAAATGTATTTAACAGGAATAAGAAGAAATTTCTTATTTATAGGCTGATAGAGAAGAGAGGCTATAGTCAGGGTGTGTCTGGGTCTGCCCAGATCTGCCAGAGTCCAACAGCTGGCCTAGGCTCTACTTTAATGTTTTCATCACAGTGACTGGGTGTTTCATGAGATCGAGAGACAGAGAACAGTCAAAGAGCTATGACTGTCCCTTTATTTTTTTTTAAAGACAATGCTAAGCAATATTCAAGTGTTCCTATACTTTCCTAGCTGTGTGACCACTGGAAAGATTAATTTCTCTATGCTTGTTTTGTTTTCTGTAAAATGGAAACACTAAAAGTAACACTCTACGGGTCATCTGGTTCAGTAGGAAAATTAAATATCTGATAAAATTTTAATGCTCTTAAAATCATTTTGGTACATACTGAATCCTATGTGAGTATCGATTAAAAACTGAGTGTCTAAGAAGGCAGGGAGGGTAATTGTTAAATGAAGGTGTCGGACTGGCTTTGCACTGAAACAGTGACTCCTCTCCCCAGTGGCAGCAAGCAAGTGGGAGGACACAGCCCATGAGGATGAGGAGGCAGGACAGGAAAGGTCAGGCAGTAACGGCTGAGAGGCAGGACACTGGATGGGGGAGCGGGATGAGTTTCCTGGAAGGAACCCAGAGCAGTCCTGGGAGTCAGAGCACAGATTCTTGAGCAGCTGACAGGGTTCAAACCTCAAGGTTCAAATCACTTATTGGTTGCGAGATCTTGAAAAAGGAACTTCCCTCTGTGATCTTCCATTTTCTTATCAATGTAATAAGTAAAACAACAATTCCTGCCTGATTCATTACTATACATGCTGGGAACACACAGGCTCTCAATAATTAAAAAAACTTTCCAGGATTTATGTACCATTTCAACAAAAAGCAAGTTGGTCAATGTGCTGAAATGTGTCAATATGTTCAGTGAACTGCAAAATGCCAAGAAATAACAAGGCATGTGTTGGAAAAACATGAATTTGTTTATTTCCTCTGCACCATTGCTCTTCTACAGGCAACTGGGAACAGAGCTGGGGAGCAAAACATAAGCTTTTTACTGCTGTGTTATAAAGGAGAAATTGTAGGTTTATTTCTTAGATTTAATGCTTAAAAACTTTGGTTAAGAATAAATAAGTTTATAATGTGTGTGTCTGTTTTAACGCAAATATATTTAGGTACACAAACTCAGAGGCTATTAACTCCAAATAAACAAGTAGAATGAAATAGTCTATTAGATGGAGTTAGATGATCAACACTTTCCAAAATTTACTGGAGTGATGGTTAAAAATACCCCAAACCCTGTCTTTTCAGCAATTACCACAGGTTATTCTGATACAGTTCTTGTATGGACCACACATTAAAACCCTACATAATTAACACGATTAGACTTTATATTTGTTTTTAACAGTTGATTAGTGAAAGACTGAATTATTGTAAATAACACAATTTTGTAGTATCTTTGGAATATTAAAAGTTAAGAAAATAATCCGGTGTCATTCTTTTAGGATATAAATTGTAAATGAGGACAATCTTTTCTTTTTGTATTCCCGATGCCGGGGAAGGAGAGTCGGGGAGCACAGTATGAAAATGCCTGAGGCCAGGTGGAGGAAAGGAACTCAACTATTGACTCTGCGAGGGGGTCAGGAATTGTTCCCAGAAAGAATTTCAGCCCCTTTCCGCAGATGAGGTAGGATGCGCTCCAACTTCTCCCAGACAAAGCTCTCGGTGCGGCCCAGGGCGGGTGCCTGAGAAGGAGCACCGAATGGGGGGCACGCAGTGCCAGCGCGCTGTCCCCCGCCTGGTATCCGCCTCACATGCAAAAGGAATTTCTGGGGTTTGCCCAGAGCGAAGCCTCCCTCGGGGTACCCCCATCGGGCCCTGCACTGTCCGCCTTCCCGCCGCCAGTGCGGAGCCTGCAGCTGCGCATTTGTTGTTGTTGTTAGTTAACCGACGCGTGCATGCAAGACCAAGTTTAGGGGCGAACTTACGTGGTGCGGGTGCGGCAGGCAAGGGACAAATTCTAAGCTGTCCTCACTTGTCCCTCGCTCTACTCCTGTGTCTGGCTTCTCCCGATACAGGCTGCTTTTATAGAAGCTAAAAATATAGCCAGATATTACAGCCAAGATGTTAGTGGGGTCAGTTGAAAAGAATCTAAACCAAAAAGTCACGCCCTTCTGGTGGTTTAACTGTTAAGGGTTTTTATCTTGTTGCACCCCTGCCGCCCCCTCCCCCCCGCCAAACTCCCCTCTCCCGTCTCTCCTCTCCCCTTGAAAAAGAGAGGCCCGAGGGTGGGGGCGAAACGAGGTGGACAATCCTGGTTCCTCCACACCCAGTTTGGTAAGGGTTGTTTCCTTCTCCCCAATTCTCCTGACCCCACAATGAACGCAGAGCCACAGGCTGAATCTGAGTCAGTAACAGCAGCCTGACAGAGGTCAGCAGCCTGTCTCTCAGGGGTACTTTTGGGAGGGAAGGAGTTTGCTTATTTTTATTAAAAAAAAGTTTTTTTTTTACTTGCTCATTTCTTTTCCTTCCTTTTAAAAAAAGTATTTTGCTTTCGACAGTGAGTTTTTCATTATCAGTATAAATACCAGTGTGTGTGTGTATATGTGTAAAATGCCTAGTTTTATAACTTAGACATACATACAGTTATTTTGTTGCATATGCTTACAGTTTTTTTTTTCCTTTCTTTTACTAGGGTTTCCAGATTTACTGGGGGAGACAGAGAATACTAAATGTAATTTGAAGTTCTCCTTAAAATTGAATAATAGAAAAAATATGAAATAAAAAATGAGCAAAAACACAACCAATATTTTTTAAAAGTTGTCAAATACTACAAACATTTTGTCTCATCAGTTTGTTTCCTTCTGTTAAGCTACTCCTATCATGTTTGAATTTCAGCGTGAGCCAGACTTCTGGCATAATGTTTGAGTTGTATAACAGGGAAATTTTAATTCACTTAAAAATTTTTCATTCTATTGTATTGCACTACAGAACCAAAACTGTCAATTAATCGAAAGTGTCGAATGCATTTTAGCCAATATATCTCTATGAAAGGGCTCTTTGTAATACAGTGATAAAAACAAAAAACAGATGTTAGAAACTCAATTTTACAGTACTATCAAAAATAGATTTCTAACATATAACTTAGAAAAATAGAAGACTTACAGAGAATGAAAATACCAGTGAATAAAATTCACTGCTTCTCCTTCGTTAAGTGGTGTGATTCTACCAATCACATTTTCATCAGAAAGTTGTCTTTAACATGAGTTTATATTTTAAATGTTAAAATGGATACTGCATAGAATTATAGTAAAATTGGATGATCAATTTTTTGAACTGTGTTTATATGAGTCATCCTACAAAATCCAGCTGTAATGGCATACCTATAATGAGGACATCTAGAAATATTCCAAATCTAATAAATTGTTTTTGTAGTTAAACAAGCACTTTATTTACACCATTATTTAACAATCATCACTTCTCTATGTATTTCATATATATTTTTTTCTACCAGATATATATTCACCAAGAGAACTTTGCTTTGTTTATCTTTAATTATCTGGTAGCAATGATTTCCACATTTGGATTCCAAATACCAGTAAATTGTATCCCCAAATGTCACTGGGAAAAAATGGTGTTGCCCAATTTTATATATAAATAAACCCACGCTGATGGAGGATGAGTTTCAAAGTTCAATTGGGACCTGGATCATAGACTTTACTCCAGGCAGGTGGAGTCTTGAAGGTGCTAAAGCATGCTGAGAGCTATGCTTGAGTCCCATTAATGGCAGGAGCGAGTAAAGAATAAAGTGGGAATTCTGGAGATTAGGATCATTTAGGAGGTGTACTAAAGGAGGAAAGCATGTCCCTCCACTCTAGGCCTCAGGCAAAGCTTCGCTTCACAAGTGATTCAGATCTCTTCAATCCTGGTGTTCTGTATCCTTTAAAGCATTGCACTTATCTGTTAAAAAGCTTGACTTTGCCACATTTGTGATTCAGATACTAACTGGCAAGAGAATGGAAAGGACAAGTGCAGTAACATATAGTCTCAAAGTTCTATGGCCCAGGTTCACAAATGGCAAGCGCTTTAGCACATACTTCATATGCAAACTTAATTATATGGTCACACCTAGCTGTAAGAGCAGCTAGATAGATATAATCCTTAGCTATGAAGCCAGAGAGATCAAACGGTGGGAATCCAAAGAGGGAGCCCAACCCTGGAGCTCCAGTGACCAGGTTCTTGTCTTATGACAAGAGAAAGAATTCAAGGGTACAACAAACAGCAATCAGAAAAGCTCTAGTTTTATTAAAGTGAAAGTACACACTTAAGAGAAAAGTGCAGGCAGCTCAGAGAGTCTGCTTCAAGTTGTCTGAATTATGGGCTTTTGTTTTCTTGGGGATGGGGGTGTCCCAAGGCATCCATCCTGCCTCCAGGTCTTGGCTTGTTTCTCATGCTACCTGGATGGGAGGAGGTGGCCCAAAGCCATCTTTCTTGTCTCCTGGTCTTGGCTTGTTTCTCTTGCTGGGGTCTCACCTTGAAATCAAAATAAGGAGAGGGCTGAGAAAGAGACAAGAGAGAAATTCTAGAGCCGCAAGGAGAGAACTGAGTAAGGGACTGAGGAAAAATTCCAGAGTCGCATTCTGGGGTGAGGGGAGGAGGTGTGTGGAGGAGGTGGGGGTGGGAATATGGCGGGGAGAGGGGAGGTGGTTGGTCTTCCCTAGGCTAACTATCCTGCCTCAGCTAGACTGCCATAAGTTTATCTTGTAAAATAGAATCACATTTTTTGGAGCTGTATGGCATGTTTTAATATTAAAAGTATATGCAACAATATCAGGGACAGATTTTAGTAAAGTTCTGAAACTAAACTTGGCAGATCCAGGACTTGAATCTAAACTGAGAAAATAGTAGCGGCCCCATAGTCCCTGAACCATAAAGTTTGATTTGGGGGTTCAAGTGAATACATGATCTACGACCGAATAAATGTAGTCCTTTGTTAGTTACCTATATCCAAGAAATTTCTATTTTTCTCTCTCTGTTTTGCTCTTATCTAGCTCTGTCTCTTTTGCTCTCTTCTCTTTTGTTTTTATCATTTTTGTTATTGTTGTCAATGAGGATGTGGATATCCAATTTCCCGGCACCATTTACTGAAGACAGATCTTTTCTCCTTGAAGTGTTCTTGGTTTCCTTGTAAATACTACTTGACTGTATATGTTCGGGTTTATTTCTGGGCTGTCAATTCTGTTTCATCAGTTTATTTCCGTGTTTTTATGCCAGTACCATACTGTTTTGATCATTATAACTTGATAAGATAGCTTGAAATCAGGAAGTGTATGTCTCCTGCTTTGTTCTTCTTCCTCAGGAGTACTTTGGCTACTCGGGGCTAACGTGGTTCCACATAAATTTTAGGATTGTTTTTTATAGTTCTATAAAAAATGCCATTAGAATTTTGATAGAGTCAACACTGAATCTGTAGTTGGCTTTGGGTAGAAAGGACATTTTAACAACATTAATTATTCCAGTCCATGAATACAAGATACCTTTACATTTATTTGTGCTTCCTTTGAATTTTTTCATCAATGTGTTGTAGTTTTCAGATAGAGATATTTCACTTCCCTGATTAAATTTACTCAAGTGTTTCATTGCTCTTGATGCTATTGTAAATGGGATCATTTTCTTTTTTATCAGATGTTTTGTTGCGAGTGTATAGAAATGCTACTGATTTTCGCGTATTAATTTTGTATCCTGCAAATCTACTGAATTTATTAATTCAATCTAACAGATTATTTTTGGTGGAATCTTTAGGATTTTTCTAACGATAATATCATGTCATCTGCAAACAAATAGAGACAATTTTACTTTTTCTTGCCTGATTGCTATGGCTAGAACTTCCAGGACTTTGCTGGCTAGGAGTGGTGAAATTGAGCACCTTGTCTTGTTCTTGATCGTAGAGGGAAAGCTTTCAACCTCTCACCATGAGTATAGTGTTTGTTGTGGGTTTGTCCTATGTGGCCTTTATTATGTTCGGGTATGCTTCTTCTCTAACTAGTTTGTTAAGAGTTTCTATCATGATTTGAGTATGTTAAACCATCCTTATAGTCTAGGTACATATATTCCTCTTGATCATGGTGAATATTTTTATAGCGTGCCACCGAATACACTTTTCTAGTATTTTATTAAGAATTTTTGCATCTATATTTATCAATGATATTGGCCTATAGTTTTTTTTTTTTTCTTGTAGTGTCTTTTCCTGGCTTTGATATCAGGGTAATTCCTGACCTTTAAATGAGTTCAGAGGTGTTTTCTCCTCTTAGATTTTTTGGAAGTGTTTGAGAAGGATTGGCATAGATAGAATACACTAGTGTAGTTATCAGGTCCAGGATTTTCCTTCTTTTAGAGATTTTGAATTATCATTTCAATCTCCTTTTAAGAAAGTAATTGGCTGTTCAGATTTTCTATTCCTTAGAAAATTTTGGTCTTGGTAGGTTGTGTGTTTTTGAGAAATTTTCCAATTTTTTAGGTTGTGCAGTTTTTTTATGTATACTTGTTTTTAGCAGCTTATTATGAACCTTTGTATATTTGTGGTATCAGTTGTGATATCTCCTCTTTGATTTATAATTTTGACTTGGATTTTATCTCTTTTTTTCTTGGTTAGTCCAGCTAAAGTTGTCTATTTTGTTTATCTTTTCAAAGAAAAAACTCTTATTAATCTTTTCCCTTTTTTTCTGTTCTCTGTTTCATTTATTTTTGTTCTAATCGTTCTTATTTCCTTCTTTCTGTTAACTTTAGGCTGAGTTTGTTCTTTATGTAGTTTTTTTGAGGTGTAGAGTTGGGTTGTTTATTTGCGATATTTCTTGTTTCTTTATGGACATTTATTGCTATGAAGATCCCTCTTAGACTGGCTATTGATGCATCCCATAATTTTGATATTTGTATTTCAAAATTTGTTTGTTTCCATATATTTTGTATTTCATCTTCAATTTCCTTTCTAATCCATTGGTTGTTAAGGAGAGTGTTAATTGCCATGTATTTGTGAGTTTTCCAGTTGTCCTCATGATATTTTTTTCTAGGTTCATACCATTGTGGTCAGAGAAGACACTTGGTATGACTTCAGTTTTCTTGAATTTGCTAAGACATGTTTTGTGACCTAACATATTGTCTATCCTAGAAAGTCTTCCATGTGT